ACAGAGTAAGTTCCAGCAAAGGCGCAAAGCTACATAGAGAAACCCTGTCTCAAAAACAAAACAAAAACAAAAAATTCTGACTTAAGAAGACAAATAATTAAACTAGGCATGGTGGTGCACACCTTTAACCCCAGCACTCAGGAGGCAGAGGCAGGTGGATCTCTGAGTTTGAGGCCAGCCTGGTCTATAGAATGAGTCCCAGGACTACAGAGAGAAATCCTGTCTCAAAAACAGTCCATCCCCCCTCCACCAAAGAAGACAAATCACTAAATATTGTTACTATGATTAAGTCTTTAAAAAAAGAAAAGGCAACTGTGTTCTAATAAAAGAGAAAGTTTTTCTGTCATTGGAAGGCAGCAATAGCGTCAGGGAATCAGCAGGGCTCCTAAAGTCAGTACTGCACAAGGTTAAAGAGCAATCCGTAGTCCTCTTACCCAGTGACCAACTCCAATGTCTACAGTCTGCATTTCTGAAGTTAGTTATGCAACAAAATTCAAGCTTTAAAATTTTTTATTCCAGAACAGTTAACATGCTACATCCTCTCTTCACATATACATCCACACAATATCATAGAACCATTTTCCTATCACTACTAAACATTTTAGTTTTGTAAATACTGTCTTAATTTAAATCTGTTCTTTTCTCCTCTTGTTCAATGATCACTAAACCAACCATTTAACTCAACTTCTACTTCATAATTTCTATGAATATCCTTAACAACAAACATAGTTCTGGGGAGAATGTAATACCAGCACTTGGGAAAGCTTAAGAATGAGGATCCCTTGAGTAGTTCAAGACTGGCCTGAGCCCTGTCTTTAAAAACAAAACAAACACCCAAATGCAAACCTGGAATTATTCAAACGGTTTCCTGTAGCCTAGTCTGGCCTCACTCATTGAGTAGCTAATGGCCTTGAACTCCTGATCCTGCCTCCACTTCTGAAGTGCTGAGATTACAGGTACACATCAACTCCTAAAATCAGAATTTAAGTCAAGGTTAAGAATTAAGAAGAGCCAGGTGGTGGTGGCGCACAAATTTGATCCCAGTGCTTAGGAGGCAGAGCCAGGCAATCTCTGTGAGTTTGAGGCCAGCCTGGTCTACAGAGTGAGATCCAGGACAGCTATGGCTATGTAGAAAGACTGTCTCAAAACAAAATAAAATAAAAATTAAGAAAAAGAGCTGGAGAGCTGGCTCAGCCATCAAGGGCACTTGTTGCTCTTATAGAGGACTTAGGTTTTATTCCCACTTCCCACATTGTGGCTCACAACCATCTGTAACACTTCTCAGCCTTTTGGTCTCTACTGGAACCAAGCACTCATAGGTGTACACACATACATGCAGGCAAAACACTCATACACATTTTAAAAGTTAAAAAAACCCTTAATAGTCTAAAAATTTTGTCCCATGTCTTATGAGACTTACGATAAGTAGCTTAAAAATAACATGGCACAAAGCTGGGCATAACGGTTCACTCATGAATACTAGCACTTAGGAGGCTGAGGAAGAAGGATCACAAGGGGTTAGAGGCCAGCATGGACTATAGTGAATACCAGGACAGCATGGGTTACAGAGTCAAACGGTCTTTAAAAAACTAAAGGGAGGTGGGGAAAGGCATACCATATGGTCAAGCCCAGATAATAGAACTGAGAATATCTATTACCAATCCACTAATGCTAAAACCAAAGCCCACATAAAGAATTTAATCCAATTTAGTGACTGACAGGAGCCAAATCTCTTAGGCAGAGAAAAACAATCCAATGAACAAACTAATAACTGCAGATACTACACTGGTAAAACAAAGTATAGTGAGCACTGGCCACATAGCCAACTGATAGTAGGGGAGTCGAAAGAGCCCTGAAAACTCAAGGGCTTTCTCAAGGCTACATTTTAGAGCTGTTAACTTTTCCAATAATACCAATGAATATGAGATTTTCTTAAATTACACTTCCTTAGTGCATGTGCATGAGTGGAGGATGCCTTGCAGGAGTGCACTCTCCCCTCCTCCCACCCCACCCCCCCATCTAACTTAGGTCCTCAGGCTTGGCACTGAGTACCTAAACCCCCAGCCCAGTATTTTTTTTTAACTAAGTGAAACTAACAAAGCTTCAGTATGTCTGTGCACCGCTTCTTGTGAGAGATTAATTACCTTCTCTAAGTCAGCCTGTTTTCTCCAATATCAGTATAAATCCACCTGGATAAACTGAAATCAGCCTTACTAGTAGATGTGAAAAGTTTCTACTCTTAAGAGAGAGAGAGAGAGAGAGAGAGAGAGAGAGAGAGAGAGAGAGAGAGAGAGAGAGAGAGAGAGAGAGAGAGAGAGAGAGAAATACTATTACACTGACTTTAGGGAAAGGGAGTCTTTAGACAAGACAATCAGTAGATAGCCCAGGCTACTCCAAATTGCATTGGTTTTCTTGCCTCAGCATCCAGAGTTCTGGGATTAGAGGGCATCCTACCACATCTGGTTTGTTCTGCAACCTTCTAAATCTAAGGAAATTCACCTGGTTCCCTATCCCCCTAAATTAGACATAACTGAGGCTATCAAACAAAGAGAAGCCTTTTTAAAAAGTGTGCTTAGGGGACACTCTGCTCTATTCTGATGAAATAAACCTAGCTTTGATGTCAGCTCAGGTGCTATAGAAGAACTGTTTGTGTCCTGTGAATCAGTTCATGGAAGACTGTCAAAGCTGCATGTTCAATCAATCTCCTGCATAAAAAGATCCTTGCAAGGATCCAGCAGATGAAACACCATCCTGACTCTGGGCATCTGTACGCCCAGGAGCCAGGCAGCAGGTATGAGCACAGTCTCAGATAACCTACTTTTGACTTTCCAGCCTCTCATCTTCTAAGAAAGATTACACACTGTAGCAATGAAACAAAATGCAGGCAGGACCCTAGACCTACAGTCTAGCCTCCTCACAGCAATCCTAGCCTTCCCAGCTGCACTACATTCTTATACAGGTCTGTCAGAAAAGTCTGTCACCCTTAAGCCAAATCAAGCCAGAACCTAGTTCTGTTGTCTAGTGCCTCAAGCCTCTCTTCAACACTTCCATCCGTGGCCAAACACCCAGTGTAAGACAGGAGAAAGGGAACTGCTCCTTCATTTTCTTTTTGCAGTATGAAGTACCTTCTAGAAGAATCCAGAGGAGATTTTAGCATGAGAACTAAAAACCTTATTTTCAAATAAAGACCGATTAAAAACAAAACAAAACAAACCCAAAACTATTTAGAAACTGATAGTGAAGGGGAACTTTTCACAAGATTAACACTGCTATTTATTTGCTAATCATGAAAGATTTTCTTAGTTAATAGTCAATCTCACTGGCTACTTAGCCACACAAAAATGCTTGATTGCTGCTATCAGACTGAAACATAACAAAAGAACTATTACTACCAAACAAACACTACGAGTTACCTGTAATTTCAATATTTACACACAAGCCCCGTTAATATATTTTATTATAAATTCCACTAATTCTCCTCTCAAAATAAAAATTCTGACATAACCGCTGTAAAGACGAACTAGGCACATACAGGGATGCTACTTGGGGATGCTAAACGTGACGTTTGAAAAAACCGGAAAAAAAAAATGTTCAAATGTATCAAAAGGTCAAAAGCCAAGCTGCAGTTTCCCCAGGAGAAACCGAGGCTGTGGAGACACGGAAAAGCTAGCCCACCCGGTGAGGGCTCTGGGCAGAACGCCCCCTCCCCGCACAGTGGCGTCCAGGCAAACCTAGGACCCCGGCGCTTTTTCTCCTGCCCCGGCCGCAGCTGCCAGGGCCGGCCTTTGTTTTCAGCCCCGGTGGCGGCCGGCGCGGTCCTAGCTGACAAAGGCGGGCATCGCCATCTTGTCGCGGCGGCCGGACGCGGCGCCCATTCATTCGAGGGCGCCTGGGGCCGGGAACGCCGGGAACCAGGGGAGCCGGGAAGCGCGGTAGGCAGCAGGCCCGCACCCGGCAGGGGTGATCGCTGTATCCAGGAGACCCGCCCCGCGGCCGCTCCCCGCGCGGCCCTGCCGGGTCCCACACCCCGCAGGAAGGCGCGGTCGGGAGGGCAGAGCTCGGCTTTTGTTCCCGCGGGGACCCGGCCTCGAGAAGAAGCGCCTGCGGGCGCGCCCTTCATCCTGGCCTAGGCTGTCCCGCCCAGGTTCGAATCCACGACCCGGGCCCCAGCCCAGCATCCCGCTCCCTTTTTTAAACTCAGGACCACCGCCGGAGTGCCGCACCACGGCCTAGACCACTCCACCCTCGGCCTCGATTCCAGGCTCTGGGAATCGAATTCCGACACTCGGTCCGGCCTTGAACCCAAGACCCCGCACCCAGTACCGCATCCGGGATCCAGACTTGAATCTAGGACCCGGCTCCGGCCTTGAACCCATGACCCCGACCCCAGTCGCCGTATCTCGGATGCAGCCTTAAGCCCAGGGTACCGGCCACGGTCCCACATCACGGATGCGGCCTTGCGCCCAAGACCCCAGCCCCGGTCCGCATCCCGGCCTAGGCGGCTCCGCCCCAATCAACCCGGGACCCAGGCCCCGCCGCCCACCCAGCCCACCCAGGGATTGCGGTCCCTGCCAGCCCCACCCTGGAGAGCAGGATGACTCGGGCGGCCGATGACCCCCGGGCGGGAAGCGGAGCCGCAGGGCCCGGCCCAGCTCGGCCCAGCTCAGGGCCGGCGCCGATCACAGA